GTTAAGGGGCTCTGGGCAGCTTCCTGCTCTCCTAAGGATGGAAGTTTTTGTCCATCAAGTTTTTGTCTTCCCTTTTGTCTGGCAGAGAGGAGAGACTCAGGAAAGAAGCGGAGGAAGAGAAGAGGAGAAAGTTGGAGGTCATGGAGAAGCAGACCAGGAAAATGGAGGCCTTCATGAAGGAGAAGGAGAAGGAGGTTCTCCAGCTGCAGGTAAGAGCAGCTGGTGCCTCCCGGGGGACAAGCTGCCAGCAGTCCCTGCGAGGGATTTGCTGGCAGCCCGTGGGAGCCATGTGGAAGCCGTGGGCTTGTTTTCCGGGGACCTTTCAGTTGGTAGCTGGGAGCGCAGAGCGTTGGCACCTTCCAGGGGCGCTGACAGCGCGTGGATGGGAGAGAGGCTGAGCCAGAGCTCTGGGAACGGGGTGGAATAATCCCGAGGGGATAACCCTGAGGGAATAATCCCTGTCCTTGGTTCAGGAGGAAGCCAAGAGCTTCATCACCCCCGAGAACCTGGACGCGCGGATCGAGGAGTGCCTGGACAACCCGCGCAACTACAACTTCGCCATCGACAAGGACGGGCGGGTCGTCAAGCGCACGATGCTGTCGTAGCAGCCCCGGGATGGGGCTCCTGGCCCACTTTGTGCCCAGAACCTCCTCCCCAGAAGACCTGGAATTCTTTTTAGTGTATAAATTGACCACGGAAGTGGTGCAGAAAGGCTGCGGGGTCTGGCTGTGCTGCTTCCGAAGGGCGGAACGCCTGCGGGAAAGGGGGTGAGGGTGGAAAACTTGGGCTCTTTGGAGGCTCCAGCTGCCTGGCTCAGCCCTGTGTGGCTGTTGCTGTGCCTGTGATTCCACCTCCCACGAGTTTGGATCCCTGCTGCCTTCACACGCAGCGTGTGGGGAGAGAAGCAGGAGCGGTCCTGAGGCAGATCCTGGCTCTGAGCTCCGTGCTGTCAGCCCCTCTGGATGCTTCCGAAGGCAAACGAGGGCTGAATGGATTTTTAGGGAACACTTGCCCTCGTCTTTTTTTTTTGTTGCTCGGTGAAAGGATTAATTGTTCCTCCTGATTTCTGCTGGGCTGGAGGGGCCTGTCATCCCTCCAGCTTTGAACCCTCCTTTGCACATCCCTTGGTGTGGCTGAATGAGAAAATACGTCTGAATGATCTGAGGTTTTTGGTGTCTCCTTATTCCCCACCTTCAGCCTTATTTTACTCATCACCTTGTGTCGAAGGTGTAGATCAAACTGTAATGACTCTGGGTGTTCTGGGTTGTTGGGGTCTTGCAGACTCTCAGCTTTGCCCTGAAACTGCTGGGTTTAGGTTCAGCCAGAGCCCAGGCTGACTGACCACAGGTCCCTCTGCCCTCCCTCCCTCAGAGAATTCACCTGAAATCCTCACTTTTTACCTCCACTTTTCCTAAAAATGTCTTTTTCTCTCCTCATGAGCCCACACCCAAACCAGGCAAGAACACAAAAGCCACAGATTTCTTTTAGGGTTGTTCTTCTGTACAAGTTTTATTTCTATTTAAGCTCATCACTCCAGGCCGAGTCACAGCCCTCAGCTCGTTTATTCCCAGCCCGAGGCCAGGCTGGGATAGTGGGATGGAGATTTGGGATCCTGTGGGTTCTGTCCTGGGTGGGCTACACGAACAGCAGCTCTTGGTCACAGGATGAGTCAGTCCCACAACCCTCTGTGAGGGGAGAGAGGGGGGAGTGTGGTGTGAAAGCAGAAACCCCCCCAAAACAGTCCCCAGAGACCTCCCAAACCAGCCCCCGGGGACCCCGTGGTTCTGGGGTTTAATGAGCTCAGGCTCCCACCGTGCTCCCTGGAGTTCCCTGGGATTAGTAGTGGGATCTCTGGTAGTTTAATTTAGGGAGGAGGTTGGGATTTTTGGAAAACCCACGAGAGCAAGAAGCGACGTGGGTTGCTGTACCCCACAAGGAGTGCTGCCATGCCCCATGGGAATCCTGCACTCGGCCCCCAAATTCGGTTGCCGTCTGCTTCCCTCCTGCCCCAAAACCTCCCTGAAGGGTCTGATATCCCTTCCCTGGCATCGGGATAAATCTGGCATGGAGCAGGGGGGGCCAGATGAACTGACACATGGGTGGGACCAAGACGATCCCTTGGGCATCCTCCCCTCTCTCGCCCTCCTGTATAACCCCGAACTCCTCCCAGGAATGGCGGGAGGCCCTCGTGACAGGAATCCCAGGATCGCCGGGAGGTCCCGGGACTCGCTCACCGGTGCTGCAGCAGATGCCGGGGGCGGCGCAGCTCCCGCCGGTGCCGCAGGGTTTGTGTCCCGACTCGCAGGGGGCGGGCAGGAAGTTTTCCTCCTGGCAGCGCAGGGTCTCGGAGGTGCCGATGTAACAGCCCAGCTCCTCCCCGCAGCAGATGTTGGGCCCGAAGCAGTGGCCCTTGTTCCGGGGGCCGCAGGGCAGGCACTGCTCGGGGGAGGGAGGAGGAGGGGGGGAAAGAAGGTTGGGAAGAAGGGAAGGATGAGGTTAGGGATGCTCCATCCCCACCAGGACCTACCTTCCTGATTTCCATGTCCATGACGGCGCGTTTGCCCCCGATGGGGCAGTTCTGGATGTAGCAAGCGGAGGAGAGAGCCAGGAGCCCCAGGAGGCAGAGGGCCAGAGCCTTGCAGGACATGATGGCGGCGGGACGGGGAGAGTTTTTTTGGATGCTCATCCCCAACCACCGCCCCTGTATTTATAGTCCCGGCTCCTACTTAGGGATTCTGGGCACCGGCATCACCCGTGCTCCTTAAAAACCACAAGGCATTGCTTCCCACACCGGAGGGCTGGGTTAATAGCTGGAGGTCGAGGACGTGAGGGCAAGGCCAAGGTGTTGGTTTGCTCCTCGCTGACGGCTCCGACGGCCGCGGCGGGAACGTGCGGAGGCTGCGGATGGACTTGGGGGCTCAGGGCCCTTCTCTACCAGCTCTGCTGAGCTGTGGTGTGTCCCTCCGTGTCCTGCTGGGAGCCCCTCTGGCATGGGGAGGGTGGGGATGAAGGCAGGCAGATGTGAATGGGATTGTGTCCACCCAGGAGCAGGGTGAGAGGGGCACGTGCGTCCCTTGGCTTCGAATCCCTTCAGGTGGGTGGAAAGCAAACACGTCTCCTCCTCTGGGATCATCTGTGGGATATGGGGTGGGAAATACCCTTGTTGGTCCTGTCCACCCACCCCTGCCTGGCCTTTGGGGGATGCTCAGCACTGGGCTCGTCCCAATCTTGGGATAATGGTGACACTCAGCCCATCCCCACCCATCCAACAGCACCACAGCCACCTGAAAACACCAGACCTCCCGGGCAAAGACCTGAAATCCCAAACTTCCCCACTGTTTCTCCTCCGAGCTGCCTGTGGGGATGGAATGTGGTGCCCTGAACCACATCATCAGCACACGAAGGCCCCCCGAGGACAAGACCGAGGAGTGACGCAACTGCCCAGGGCCCTGCTGGCCCCGGCCCCTCACCTTCGTTATCCCAATTAGGAGCTTCCCCCACTTGAATAAATTTCCCTACCGTGGACAAAACTTACTGTCCATCGAGATCATTACCCTGCACTGGCTTAATTGGGAATTAGGCAGCCTGGAGCCCGAGAGTCGTGACCTTTTCCCGTCCCTCTGGCTTTGCTTCCAAATCCGCCACTTAGCGTGTCTGGTGTGAGGGCAGCCGGGTCCCTGTCACCCACCTGGGGTCAGTCCTGCTCCCTGGGGACAAACCAGGCACTGGGATCTGTGTTAATGGGTTGGAAATGGGGCTCAGCACCTGCTGTGGGCTGTCCCAGCAGCTCAGCTCCAGCTGTGGCACAGGACGGAGGGGGGGAAATTGCCATCCTGGAGCTCCTGTGGCTGCTCCAGGGGGTGCCTGGACCCCCCCAGGATGTGTACTGGGAAGACGAGGGGGAAAAAAACCCACCAATTATCAGCCCCTGGTGCTTTTGGGGACTCAACACCTCGATATTGAGGCTTCTGTCAGCTGGAGCGTCATCCTGGCTCAGCCACGTCCCCGGTGCTTCAGGAATGTTGGGGTTCACATACCATGTCTGGGAACAGTCTGAGTGCCAGGGCTGGGCTGAACAGCCCAATTCCTTCGTCTCAGCATGGAGCCCCCTGTCCCTGCTGCTGTGGCCCCTTTTCCACCGATTTTAGGGTGATCCCACCCCCACAGGGCTGGGATAAGCTGCAGGGAGCAGGGTCTGGATCAATCCTGCACCCCCTCTGCATGGTGCTGGGAGCTGGCAGGATGGATCCCGCCGGTGTCAGGGAGCTCCACCTCCTCGGAGGTGCCACCTCCCTCGGGGACGCTATAAAGGACCAGCTGTCCCCTGTGCTGTGTCCAGTCCCAGCCAGGGGAGAGCTCAGAGCAGGGACCCCGCAGGGTAAGAGACCTGGGACAGGGTGGGGAGGGGGTTGGGATAACAGTACCCCAAATTTGAGGGGGTGGCAGAGGGATAACGGGGAGACTGATCCTGCCTCTCGGTGTCCAGAGGGGAAGTTTGGTGAGTGATGGTGGGGAAAGATGAGACCAGCCCAAGGAGGTGTTTGGAGCCGGGAGCCCAAACCTTTCTGCTCTGGGGGCGTTTTGGGTGTTTTTCCTTACTTTTTTATCATTTTCTAGCAGATGCCGTGCTGGTTCCTGAAGGCAACAAGACCCCGAATCTGCCCCAAAGAGGGACTTGGCCAAGAGGTAACGTGATGGTGGCACATCCCAGACATCCCCAGTCTCCCGGGGATGGGGGTGCTGGGAGGCTGAGCACCCTTGGGTGCTGCTGGGGCTGCTGGGAGGGACTTGGCGGCCCTTGATCCCAAAGTCCAGCCCTGCCTGCGCTCCTGCTGCAAGAGCGAGGCCAAATCCTGCACCCAGCCCAGCCAAACCACCCGTCCTCAGTGGGGATTTGGGGAAGGGGACGGGAAAACCCTCCACAATCGCCCCATCCTTCATCCCCAGACGGGTCCCCTGGAGCCCCCGGGACCCACCCCCAGTGCCCAGGACGAAGCCACCACAGTGCACGAGGACTTTTATTGGGTCTCGTATGTACAGTGCCGGGAGGGGGGGGGTCGGTGAGGGTGGGGGGGTCGCCCCATGCCCTGGCTCAGAGGAGGGGATGCTTGCCCTGCTGCTGCTGCTGCTGCTGCTGCCGGTTCGCCAAGTGCATGAGCTTGAGGAGCAAATCTCCCGCCGAGCCGTCCAGCACCGTCAGGTTCTTCTCCGCCTCCTCCTGAGCCCCGTCCCCGCCCTCGTCCGGGCAGGCGGAGTCCATGGAGCACGTGTCTTCAGCGGGAGGAAAAACGTGGGGATAGAACGGGTTATTTAGGACCCCGAGAGGTTTATTTTGTGCTGGGGAAGGGGTTGGTGGCAGCTGGGGTTGGGAGGGAATCTGCACAGCTCGTGCTTCAGTTTTGTTTCTCCCCGTTAGTCAGGAATGGGGTTGGATGGGGAGGGTTTCCTGGTGCGCTGGGGAGGCTGAGTGTGCCTGGCTGGGAGAAAGCTTAGGGTGGTGGGTCGGGAAGGAGCTCCGAGCCCAATCCTTTAGAATCATGGAATGGTTTGCGTTGGAAGGGACTTTAAAGCCCATCCAGTTCCAACCCCTTGCCATTGGCAGGGACACCTTCCACTATCCCAGGTTACTCCTGTCCAACCTTGGACACTTCCAGGGATCCAGGGGCATCCATAGCTCCTCTGGGCAACCTGTGCCAGAGTCTCCCCCACCCTCGCAGCCAACAATTCCATCCTTATGTCTTCCCTGAATTCAACTATCCAAAAATGCCTCCAAACGGAGCCAACATCGCCCCCACCCCCTGACTCAGTTTCCCCCCGGCAAGGTTAAACCCCGGCAGCAGACCAGGCTTAAACTTGCGTTCTGCCCCACGCCCTTGTGACCCCCCAAAACCCCGCATCCCGTCACCCCAGCGGTCCCAGCAGCCCCGTTACCGGCGGTGCAGCAGATCCCGGGCGCGGCGCAGCGGCCCCCGGAGCCGCAGGGCTGTCCCCCGGCCTGGCAGGGTGAAGGCAGGTAGTCTTCCTCGGCGCAGCGCCGCGTCTCCGCCGTGCCCAGGTAACAGCCCAGCTCGGCGCCGCAGCAGATCCCGGGCCCGAAGCAGTTCCCTCTGTTCCCGGGGCCGCAAGGCATGCACTGCGGGAAGGAGCTGCCTGAGTCCCCCCCGCCCCGTATCCCTCGGCAGGGTGGACCCTGCACCCTCCTGTGTTAGAAAGCAGTTGCCCAAAACATCCCCTTTTCCAGCCCTCGAGGGTGCCACGCTGGCTCAGGGCGAACCGCCCTGTCCCTGCCACCTCGTGCTGCGGCGCTGGCCCCGCTTTGGGGGGTCCCCGCTGCCCTTCGTGTCCTCCCTGTCCCTTCTCCACGAGCTGTCCCGTCCCCCTGCTCCCCTTCTCCAGCGGGATGCTTTGCTGCGGCCAAGTTTGAGCTCGTCCTTGAGGTGCCAGCAGCATTTCGGGTGCTCGTTCCTCCGCCGCTCCCCCCTTGGGCACGTCCCCCAGCCATCCCAAAAAACCCCGCACCGCTCCGGGCAGTGTGGCACGGCCAGTGGTGCCAACAGGTGCCGAGGAGCCTCCGCACCCCCGCAGAGCCGCTCTGCGCCCTCCAGAGCCCCGTCCCCATTCCCCGGGGCTCCCACCCATCCCATCCCGTACCTGTCGGAGGGCTGTGTCGGCCAGCG